AGATTTGTATTTTGATTTGACTAACCAGTCTACCATAACATAAGCCATCAGAGGCATTTTGCATGAGCAACTACACACATTTAAAACTTGGAAGGCTGATTTTTTTCTGCAAAGAACTAGGTTTTCTATTATAGTATTGAGAAAATGGTGAAAGTAGTTTTGAAGTTTACTGAAATAAATTTTATTGGTTTTTAACAAGTAGTAAATAAGCGAATAAAGTGGTGTCACAGAATGCCTTTTCCAGAGCTGCAGCTGGGGTAAAAGAGTGTTAAGTGTCCATGCATCTACAGAGGGGTGCCTGATCACCCACATGGTCCTTCCTAAAGGGAGATCCAAAAAACTAACTCTCCCCACCTAGCCTATGGCCCACCCCTATTCTATATGTATTGGAAGGCAGAGGAATGAGGGGATATTACTGGTGAGATTCTCTTTGGGGAGAGCTGAAAGAGTGCTTTGGTTTTGCCTCATCCCCCCACCCCCCAACTCAAGTGATGTGAGGGGGTCCACGGTAGAACTCCTGCAGGTGTGTCTTGTGTTGGAGAACACAGAGGCTGGTGTCTGGCTCACACCCAGAAATAGATAAAGGTGAGAGGCTAGTTATACCTTCCGTTGAAGTCAGAGCATTAAGAGTGCTTTCAGCTGTGGGTGGGACAATGGTGGTCCTCGGAAGGTAACTGGCCTTGCGTTGAATTTAAAAGATCCTGCCAAAAGGTCTACCGAAAACTAAGAGTCTGTGCTTAACTGGAACCGTGTAGGGAGGCCCCCAAGTGAGGCGTTTCCTCCACAAAAGGGACTAAGGAGAAAGGGCTACTAGTATTCAGGTATCTGTAACACACAGAGGGCTCTGACCCCACATTTACATCGGTCGGTCCAGTAAGACTTTTCACGGGCTTTACCTCTCCTCTCTTCTCCTGCCCCCATGCTGAGCGGGGAAGTAAGGAAGAAAGTAAAACAAAATACAGAAAAAGCTATCTCCTTATCCCCAGCCCTCGGCTGCTTCTCAGTCTTCATTACAGGTTTCTAAGCTCAGATAAGATCAAGAGTTTTAGTTAAATGAGGTTAAAGTTTTGATTTAGATTGTATTAAACATTTTAATAAGCCAAATAAGACTTATTTATTTTTAATACTTTAAAGTGATTAACAAGCTCTAGGATCTGCTTCAAATATCATCCAACTGACAGAAAAGTTAAGAAAAAAGAAGATATTTCAATATTTTACTCCCACTTGGTTTGGATTGTTATAATGATGAATATCTTTGGGCCTGGACCTTTGTTCTTCATTGGAGCAATTTCCTTAAGATAATAGGCCGTGTGTGGAATAATTGATCAAAGGTTATGAACATCTTTATGGCTTCAGATAAGCAATGCTAAACTGACAACCCATATGTTTACCAACATAAGCTGCCACTAGCAACATAGAAAAAAATCAATTTTATGCCGGATTTCATTGTACCATAGTCGCTTTATTTATTTATTTATTTATTTTATTGTCTAAAGTTTTACATGTCTCCTTTCCCCCCATTTGACCCACATGGTCAGTCTTTAGGCTCTGTGTGTGTGCGTGTGCGTGTGCGCGGGCGCACGTGTGTGTGTGTGTGTGTGTGTGTGTGTGTGTGTGTGTGTAAAACACAGGTACATGGCTTGGACATTTGGTGATTTCCAAGTTGCTAAGCCTCAGAAGCCCCACAGGTGAATTTCACACCTGACTGGCTTATTTTGCTTAGTATAATGTTCTCTAGTTCCATCCATGCTGTTGCAAATGGTAAAAGTTCCTTCTCATAGTCATTCTTGTGAGAAGATGTCCCAAGTGTGGAATGTAGAACAGTACTCAGAGCACCTCATTTTCTCTCTGCACCTATGACTATGTCTTTAGGGAAAAATATGCAAATATTCACACAGACTTTTTTTTTTTTCCAAAAACAAAATTGTGATTATATAGTACATATTTATATTCACAGTGTTGTCTTTTTCCACATCAGTATGGAAATTTCTACCTTACTCTGCTAATGGATGTCCCAATTTCTTTTCTTTTTTAAAAAAATACGTTTTTATTGATTCCTGAGAGAGGAAGGGAGAGGGAGAAAGGGATAGAAATATTAATGATGAGAGAGAGTCACTGACTGGCTGCCTCTTACATGCCCCCTACTGGGGATTGAGCCTGCAAGTAACCCGGGCGGGTGCCCCGCCTGGGAATTGAACCCGTGACCTCTTGGTTCATAGGTGGGCACTCAAGCACTGAGCCACACCAGCCAGGCTGTTTCAATGTCTTTTAACAGAATCAATAGCATACAGTAGAAGTCAACTTTAGTAAAAAATCACATTAAATTTCTCAATTAATTAATTGATTGATTGATTTTACAGACACTGTAGTCTTTTTTCCTTCCTCCCTCTAGGGTCCCTCTCTTTATTATTGCATCCTGTATTGTGCATTATTTGGCATGAATAAAACAAACATAGCACCTGCCCTCTGGAGTTTGCACCCAGTGGAGTTGTTTTTCTCTTTCTACTTTGCCTTTTAAGGGTAAGCTTAATATTTAAGCCCAAAATACACATCATCTTATATTGCTTGCTAGAAGTTTGGCCACTAAAAGTGTTCTTTCTAGTAGCTAAGGCAAAGTGGGAAATTTAATCAGATACTTACGTTATAGTTGCTGAAGAAATGAATAGTTATTCATAGTTCTGGGGATGGAGAGAATTTTTCCTGATTTTCATTGAAAAGGTACCTTATGATGTACTAGTAGAGAACTCTGTTCTTAATATTATCTCATTAGCACAAACTGAATGTTATAGCACTGTTTTCCATTATGTTTTAAAATATAGGTCAATGAGCTAATGGCAAATGTAATTCAGAAAAATAAGTTTTCTAAGGTGTACAGAGCTTATAGACTAGGCATACAGCTTTCTGACTTAATTCAATGACATAATTTAGAGGGTCTGGACCAAGCATGTCAAACTCGCGACAGGCAGGTCACATGCGTTTAAATGAGGCATGTGGTCCGTGGGCCGCGAGTTTGACATGCTTGGTCTGGAATCTAGGCTCCAGACACTAGAAGAATACATGGACCACATTTGTTTCCTGGAATCCTCTATTAATATCTTGTGAATTGAACTTTCAATAAGAACAAGGGACAGGGAATTAGAGAGTATATTTCATGATGAGTGGCAGATATTCCATGTCTCTAATTTATGGCAAATATGGATACTTTAATAGGCTCTGCAGTGTATCAAACATGATGCTAGAAACTGGTGTGGAGTGTGGGTTTGATACATTCCTACCCACAATGCTCACAGTCATTCATAAAAGGAGCCAAGATTTGTATACAAACAGCTGCAAGACACCAAATATCAAGGGCCATAAAAAGAGTCCAGACAAAGTGCAGTGCATTCATTAACTAATTTGACAAATATTTTATTTAAGTGCCCATGCTTGATCTACAGCTCTTTGTATGTAAAAAACAATTGCATTAGAAACTTTTTGTGAAAATTGTATGGAAATGTAAGAGATTTAGGAGAGCTGCAGTAAGCAGATTGAGCCCCAAAGATGTCCACACCTAATCTCTGGAACCTGTGACTATGTTGCGTGATATGGTAAAAGGACTTTGTAGATGTAATTAAGGCCATGGATTTTAAATAAGGAGGTTGTCCTGGTTTATCTGGATGGGCCCATTCAAATCAGATGAGCCCTGGAAAGCAGAGAACTTTCTTTGGCTGAAGGCAGAAGAGAGGCAGCAAGGAAATTAGAGGATTTGAAGTACCATAAAGATTCAACATGCCATTGCTGGTTAAAGGTGGAAGGGGAAATGTGACACGTAGCTTTCAAGAACAGACAGAGGCTCCCAGCTGACAGCCACAAGGACACAGAGACCTCAGCCTCATGGCTATAAAGGACTGAATTCAGCCCACCATCTGAATAAGCTTGAAAACAGATTCCCCCTAAGAGGCTCCAAATGAAATTCCAAGCTGGCTGATGTCTTGGTTTTGGCCTTGTGAGACCCAGAGCAGAGGAACTAGCTGAGCTCATCCAGACCTCTGGTCTACAGAACTGTGAGAATCAATTTGAGTGGTGAATTGTTATGGCAGCCATAGAAAACGAATACAATGCCAAAGGCAATTTTAAGAACAACACCGGAGGACTTACGCTCCAGAAATCAAAGATCCTACCTTCTTAAAATCTACACTTTAATGCCACGAGACTTCAAGGAGGAGATGGTACTGCATTTATCAAAAATTGTCAGGAGTCGCTTTCCGCGCTACCCAGGGAGGGCTCCATATGGCGTTGTTCTTGGTTCCCACGTAACTTAAAGGGAAACTTTTCACAATGTCCAGAGCCCTTGATGTCCTGCAAATGAAGGAGGAGGATGTCCTCAAGTTCCTTGCAGCAGGAACCCACTTAGGTGGCACCAACCTTGACTTCAAATGGAACAGTACATCTACAAAAGGAAAAGTGATGGCATCTACATCATCAATCTGAAGAGAACCTGGGAGAAGCTTCTGCTGGCAGCTCGGGCCATTGTTGCCATCGAAAACCCAGCTG